ACCATGCCTGGCTAATTTTTGTATTTTCAGTAGAGACAGGGTTTCACCATCTTGGCCAGGCTGGTCTTGAATTCCTGACCTAGTGATCTGCCCGTCTCGGCCTCCCAAAGTGCTGGGATTACAAGCATGAGCCACTGTGTCCCGCCATAAATTTTAAAATAAGTAAATGAATCAAAAGGGTGAGTGTGTTCAGGAGGGAGGCTGGGAGCAGGTGGAGGCTGACCAGTATCTGGGCACGGAGGCGGAGCCTGTTCACGGAGGACATCGATGGCTGCACGCACCCTCCCTGGGAGCCGGGAAGGGGCTCCGCCTTCTTCATCATGGTCATCACCACCATCTCTCTGTCTGTTTCCTCAGTTGTAAAACAAAGATGATAACAGATCTACTTTGTTCCCCGGTTGGGTATTTCTAAGATGAATGGGTGATTATATTGGGTTTTCATGCATTTTGGTTTTTTGTTTGTTTTGTTTTGAGACAGAGTCTCGCTCTGTCATCCAGAGCACAGTACAGAGGCGCCATCTCGGCTCACTGCAACCTCTGCCTCCCGGGTTCAAGAGGTTCTCCTGCCTCAGCCTCCCGAGTAGCTGGGATTACAGGCGCCCACCACGCTGGGCTAATGTTTGTATTTTTGGTAGAGACGGGGTTTCACCGTGTTGACCAGGCTGGTCTCGAACTCCTGACCTCAGGTGATCCTCCCTTCTCGGCCTCACAGAGTGCTGGGATTACAGACACGAACCATCATGCCCTGACTGATGCATTTTAAAATGAGATGTTCCAGGGACTAAAACTGTGCAGGGAAAAAGAAAAAATGAGTTCAGAAAAAGAGTTGGCTGAGAACATCACTGAGGAGAATTTACCCTGCCGCTGCAGGCTGCTGAGAACACAGACGAGCCCTGTACCGGCAGTGTCGGCATGGGCCAAAGTGGGAAATCGTCCGGCTTCGCTCTCTGTCGCCTTAACCATCTGCAGCTGACAAAGGGCTGGGGTTAGTTGAGGCTGCAACCACTGGGTGCCATCCACATGCTAACACTCCACACAGGCCAGCAGGAACTGCCCCGTCGTTCTGTCCATTGATCAAGAATATGGCAGTCAGGGCCACCACCACCTTGTCCCTACAGTGTGGGAAACTGCAGATCTATGAAACTTGGAAACTTTGCTCAGAGAATGTGCTTTGGGAAACTGCATTCCTCCCAGACGTCTCAGTCTCACACAGGAATGGCTGATCAAGTATTTAGAAGGGGCCGCTCTCTGCCTGGGATTCTCCAAGGAGCTACTGGAATAGTAAATGCCCTTTTGGCGGCTAGACTGTTTCAACTGAATCCCGGCCAAAAATGGTACAGCAGGTGCCCTCTCTCCCTTCTCCAGCTCTCTCTGCCCTCAGTCGAGCCTTCCAGCCTTGGTCAGAGCAGAACTGCCCTGGAATTTGACGCTGGTGGGGAGACAGCTGCTCAGTTTTGAGGAGCGCCAAATCTCTCTGCCCCCAGTCCCTAATCCACATCCCCATCAAATGTTGAGAGTTCCACCGTTAGAGATACAGTTGGGGCTGGGCGTGGTGGTTCACTCCAGCATGCAATTCCAGCACTTTGGGAGGCCGAGGTGGGTGGATCACCTGATGTCAGGAGTTCAAGACCAGACTGGCCAACATGGCAAAACCCTGTCTCTACTAAAAATACAAAAATTAGCTGGGTGTGGTGGCATGCAGCTGTAGTCCCAGCTACTTGGGAGGGTGACGCAGGAGAATCGCTTGAAGCTGGGAGGTGGAGGTTGCAGTGAGCCGAGATCGCATCATTGTACACCAGCCTGGGTGACAGAGCGAGATTCCATCTCAAAAAAAGAAAAGAAAAGAGAGGTGGTGCTGGGCTCCGTCTAGTGGCTCATGCCTACAGTTCCAGCACTTTCGACAGGCTAAGGCACAAGGATAGATTGAGCCCAGGAGTTTGAGACCAACCTGGGCACCATAGGGAGACCCCACCAAAAAAAGAAAGAAAGAAAGAAAGAAAAAAAGCCAGGCATGATGGTGCACACCTATAGTTCCAGCTAATCAGGAGGCTGAGGCAGGAGGGCGGCTTGAGCCCAGGAGGTTGAGGCTGCTATGAGCTGTGATTGAACCTCTGCATTCCAGCCTGGGCTACAGAGCGAGACACTGTCAAAAAGAAAGAAAGAAAGAAGAAAAAAGTACAGTTGGCCCTTGAGAGACGTGAGGGTCGAGGTGGCAGCCCTTGTAGAGATGACTTCCCAAAACCTTAACTACCGACAGCCTACTGTTGACAGAAGCCTTACCCATAACATATACTGTCAATTAACCAGGTTTAGTATAAATATTCCATACTATATTCACACAATAAAGTAAGCTAGAGGAAAGAACAGGTTATTGAGAAAATGTATTTACTATAAAGGTCTTTATCCTCATCATCCTCACGTTGAGTAGGCTGAAGGGGAGGAGGAAGAAGAGGAGGGGTTGGTCTTGCTGTCCCAGGGGTGGCAGAGGCAGAAGTGGTGGAGGGGGTGGGAGGGGAGGCAGGAGAGGCAGGTGCACTTAGTGCAACTGAGGGACTCTGTTAACTTCTCCTCCAGGGTCCACAGGGGGCGTGGTTTCAAAGGCAAAAACTTCCCAGCGCCATACCTCTACCCACCTCCCCATCCGGGAGCCTAGAGTTCTTTGTCTAACTTCCCTGTGTGTGGGAAGGTAAACAGCCCAGATGAGCTTCCTTTGTTTAAAAAGACCACCAAGGCCAGGCGCAGTGGCTCACACCTGTAATCCCAGCACTTTGGGAGGCTGAGGCGGGAGGATCATCTGAGGTCAGGGGTTCCAGACCAGCCTGGCCAACATGGTGAAACCGTCTCTATTAAAAAAAAAAAAAGAGAGAGAGAGACCGCCAAAAGCCTTGGAAGGAGGGGCTCTATTTCGAGCCAGGTAGCCAATCCAGCATCAGAGTCGAAGATCAATCACTCCAGAGGAAGTTTGGAAAAGCTCCTATCGCTGGGGGTGAACTTATATGGGGCAGGAGTAACTCTGGGGTTAAATTCTCCCTACTCCCTTACCTTTAGGATTTCCCTCTCTGGAATTCCCTCCCCCAGCGGCAATGTGGGAGCCTTCTCTCTCTCTCTCTCTCTCTCTCTCTCTCTCT